AGTACTACATATATATATATATATATATATATATATATATATATATATATATATATATATATGTCTGTTACCATTTATTTTATTAAAAAAAGAGATGTTCTCGAAGATAATTCTTAATGGTTCAAATAAATTAAATTTTTCACATTAGAATAAAAGCTGATAGCCGATTGAATGAGAACGACATGAAGACGATTATTTCTAGAGATTTCGTAATCCTCTCTTTCATAATCACATAAAACACACGCAATATTCTATTTTCGTCGCAAGGAAGAGAAAAGTGATAAAGTTAAGTGCTCCATCCTGTATATTTCTGGTTCAGATTTAATGATCAATTTTTCTTTTTTTTTTTTTCTTTTATAACAATACTAAAGTTTATGCCAATTACGTGATAACTATAGACAAAAATTCAAAATATGTTTTCGCGCGTTACTAAACTAACTTATAAAGGAAAGGACTCGATGGATCGAATCTTCGTTATTTCCTACATAGCGTTTTGTTTAAATATTTATAACGGAAATATAGATATAGGCTTAAGACTGAGACGTTACATCCAACGCATGTTTGAGATACTTGTTGGCTTTACTCGTCTTTTATTTCTTTTTTTTTTATCTACTTTCCGAAAATAGCAAACCGCAGAATCGCAGCCACGCGAAACCTACCCTTTATCCGCGTCTGCGTCAAAGCGGTCGCGTTGTCATCACCGCCATTGTCATTGTCAACGTCATTATCAGTCATCGTCGTCGTCATCGTTGTCGAGTTGCATTAAACGAGACACCGATGTCGCGTATAATACTACATGACAAATATTAATCACTAAAGTGCATGCTAAAAAAAAAAATAACGTTAAATGAGGCGGGGCCCCGAGGAGTCGCGGGGGCGCGGTCGCCATGTCCCAGACGCGGGTCGTCGCAACGCATTTTCATTTTTTTTTCCCTTTTTTTCCTTTTCGATTACAGACTACTGCGGATGGAGTCGCGCTCGTGCGTGATCTACGTTAACAATCTTCACGATCTTGATCACAACGACAAGAAATGCAGACACAAACATTCTCTCTCTCTCTCTCTCTCTCTCATTCTCGCTTATTCTTTTTCTTGCATACTTATTGTCAAGTGCAACATTTTGAGTCCTTTCATATTATCATTGCGACAAGAAAAAGATAAATTAAAAATCTGCACTTGACGTTGTTATGTGTAACAGTATCGCGTGAATTTCAGATTGATCATTTCCAAAATTACGATAGTTTCGTAAAGGAATGAGGCTGATAGGCCAGGAGAAACGTATCGCCCAATCAATAATAATCGCAGAACTCCTCTCGCGCATTGCTTGTGAACGCTGTTGCTGACTAGAATTCTTGTTTCGCTTTATGCCCTAAGTAGTTTGCGGCATACGAATGTACTTCATCAAGAAATGCAAATAAATATTGTCTCCAGACAAAAGTAAGTGCGTTCTGTACCGAAAAAGATGTTCCTGCAATTAGGTTTACATAGTACGGAAACGTTGTCGTTACATCGGACACATTTCCGCACCGTGCCGATTGCAGTTCACATTTAATACTCGGTGTAGTTCTGCGATTAAAAGTTAGAAAATATTATTAACCTTCGTAAAAACGCTGTCACGTGACTGACAATTTAGCGATTGAGCGACACAACGATAGACCATGCACGCGCGCGATCCTTACTAACTTCACCTAAACAAAAGTAGTAATAAGTATGTGAAGGGACAGGGAGGTAGATACTAGAAAATTCTATGAGAGAATGAATTAGCGCAGAAAGATATTAGGAGAATATAATTTTATCTAGAAGGAAAGGGAAAGGGAAGGATAACGAGACCAGGAGTACGACAAGCACGAACAAAAAGTTCCGGACTGCAAACGAGACGAGGCCAGGATGATTGTATGCAGATGGAGCGGGAGGGAGGGAGAAAAAACCGGCGAGACCAGTTGCCGCAGTCTAGAAGCATTTTCTTGTCCATGATTGATACCGGTCAATCAATGATCGGCGATATAAATAGAGAAAAAGATCATAGAAGAAAAGAAACTGTCGCTTTTCCTCTTTTATCTTTCTGTTTTCTTCTGCCGCGTGCAACCGGGACACAGTCTTGGAATCCTGTAGTCGTTTTTGTCGGAATTCGATCCGTGTGATTGCTACCTACGCCGATTCTTCATCCGCGGCGTTTTGTCGGGACCGTTTTGTCAGCGATTGGTGAGTCGACTCGAAAGCGTACACGAGATTACGCATGTCACAGCGACACTCCGACTTCTTCTCTTTGATCTCGCTTGGCTGTCCCATAGTTACATGGTACGATTTGCGTTGGAATTCGTTCCGCTGCCTTTTCGTCCTGCGATCTGGCGAGCCGAAGGAAATGCGCGGAGTAATAAATACCGCGCACCACTCTAAAAATCGCCTCACAAAGAGTTTCGACACATTTCCCGATTTTAGATCACGTTCCGCCGCCTCTTTTTCGTTTGCACTAAAATTTTCCACTCCGACAACGTTCTCCTGTAAACTCTTTTTGGACTTGTCACACGGCTGCACGTGTGTGTATGCGTATGCATATGTGTGTATCTATAATTGCATTCCGCTTATGAGTGCTTCGCGTCGCAAAGTCCTACGGGATTGCCCGGTTATCGATGTACGAAGGACGAATTCGAACCAATAATCATCGGCTACCTAACCGATAATTTTAGACACACACACACAACACCGAGCTCGAAGTCTCGCGCGAGGAACGATCTTCGTCCGAGACTTCGATTGGCGCGCCATTCATGTTCGAGCTCATGTTTCGTACGATTTCTCTTTGAGCTGCGTCAGCTAATATCGACTGTTGCTGTTGCTTGACGAACGTTGTTGCAAGCGACGTTTAAGCATATGAGGTTGGCATCAGTGATGAGGTCATATGACATACGAAATAGTCCTGGATTCCGCTTCTCAAAATGAAGATGACAGATGTGTCGTGGTACCGGTGACTTTTATTCGATAGAGACGAAATAAGAAGGGGCTCTTGCAACTGTTTCGTAATGTGGCCGGTATTAGCGACGGTTTTGATATCCGGGATTACTTGGATTGCCTGGCTGTCGCATGCCACCACCCCTACCGCCATCACCACCCCGTGAAAATCCTCCACGACCACCTCGCGCACCATGTTGTCCTCCTCTCATCACGCTCCCAGGTCCACCTAAAATATTAAGATAACATAAATAAAAAATTTTTACTAATTAATAAATTGGAGAATAGTCCACAAAAATACCTGGTCCGCGCTGCTGTTGTTGCTGTTGTTGGCCACCCATAGATCGCATTCCACCATCTCCAGAATTCAATCTACCGCCACTACCGTCTAACATCGGCCTAGGTCTGACTTTCTTTTCCTCCACATTTAATTTTTGTCCACTTTCGTCAGGATAATAGATAGGCTGAAACAATAATCATAATGAAAGCAATTTTTATCTTTAAACGAGACACGTATATGCGTAAAAGATAAACATACCAAAGAGTTCAACACCTTAGTCACAACTTGTATATCTTCAAATGTAATAAATCCGTAATTAGGTACTCGAGCGGTATTATTTCCACCTTGTGGACCTTTGCATCTGTCATTCGATTTACTGTGTACGCGCAATTCAGCGACTCTACCATAACGCTCGAATACCTGGCGCAGGTCATTCTCAGAGGCATTGTGTGGTAAGTTACCCAGGAAAAGTTGATGAGCATCACTGTATTGCCCTAATCTTGTGCCACGACGTTCTCCATCTAAGATATGTATATAGTATTATTACATATAATATATTTTTATATATGATAACTTATAAGATAAAATCTTTATTTAAAAAAATGAAAGAATTAAAAATTAATAAAAATTAATAAAAATGAATTAATAATAATAATAATAATAAAGTGTTAATAGTATTGCATCTGTTAAAAAATGTTTCTACATTATAGAAATCTACATCCTTATATTTCATCTCTTATTTTTTTACTTTATTCCTGTTGTATCGATTCCCTTTATATTATAGTAAGTAATATTTTTTACCTCTTTGTACTAATCCTCCTCTTGGAACTCGTTGCTGCTGAGGATGTTGTTGTTGTTGTTGCTGTTGTTGTTGTTGAGGTGGTTGATTTCCACTTACTCGATGAGTTTGTTGCTGAGCTGCAGATACATTATTAGACACCGTTGTTGATGCTGGTCCATTATTTGCAGGATGCAATGGTGATCTGTCATCCAAACGTAGATTTGTCATAGGTGGCTGCAAAGAAAGAAAGAAATTCATTCATTTTCTCCTTCATTGTAAATCGTAAATTATGACATTGTGCGAAACAAAACTTACCGGAGACATGGACAGTTTAGGAGCTTGTGGGCTAGTAGCACCAGTAGTAGTGTTTGGGAAAGACTTTACCAAGGTAGCGTACGTCTTGGGCCCGCTGCTGTTGACAGTGATGTTGGAAACCTGATGCTCAGGTTCGGTCTCTTGCGTAGATGCGGTGAACGCTTCTGTCTCAGGTTGTTCGTTCCTCTCCTCTGTCTGAGCCTGCGGCTCATTCTCGCTCTGTTGCTGTTGCTGCTCACCATTACTCAGCTCTGCCTCCTGTACAAACTGAGATTGAGCGGCTGGTTCGGCTATATATGGATGCTGTTGTGCTGGAGGTGGTGGCGGCGGTTGCTGTTGCTGCTGCTGTTGTTGTTGTGGTAGTTGTTGATTAATTGTCTCTTCATGCACTGTTCCATTCAATACTTGCTGTATCACCGGATGAACCTGACAAAAATAAAATTATATTGCAAACTATTAGAAATAAAACACACGGGGAAAAAAAGAAAAGAAAGAAAAAAAAAAGAAAAAAAAAACAGGAAATCATTTTTTTCAGGAATATAATTTTTTATTACATTTAAACTAAGTATAAAAAAACTTGCGCACTACATAAAATGTTTAAGTGTCAATTTTTCTACTACAATTGATAATACATCATATTTGTTATACTAACATGTGGTTGGGGTGGTGCAGCATAATACATCGGCTGCTGTTGTTGAAGCGGAGGTTGCTGCGTCGGAATGAGAGGTGGTTGAGCTTGCTGCTCGGCAGCTTGAGCAGGAGCCGACAGCTGTTGCGCCTGAGTCTGATGTTCATCTTCCTCGGGTTCAGATCGACCAATTTCCTCAACTTCTCTTTCGCCACTCTCCCCGCTATCTCCGCCACTTACATCAGCTTCATCCTCATCCGGAAATATCAAGTCTTGATAGCGGAAGATATCATTGTGCACGTAGTAAGTTTTCGGCGCTTGCACAGCCAGTACGAAAGTTTGGGTGAATCGACGCATTGGTTGCCCGGCATTAGATAATTCTCCAGATACCTACGTAATATTTAAAGATAAATATAAAATATATAATAATAATCATATCAAAAATGTTTATTAAAATAAGTACAAAATTAATTTAAAAAGTGTATTAGTTTAAATAAATTATTCTTTTAAAAGGAAGAAGGAAGAGAAAGAAAAGAGGGGGAAGAGACAAAAGGAGAGGGAAAGAAAAATGATAGATATAGATAGAAAAAGACATTTAGATATTTAAAAAACTGATTGTATTATCAGAAGACACGGTTGCTCGGATGTCAAGTCATACGACAACTGAAATACCATGTAGTGAAATAACAAAACTCTAATAATGTTTTGAGTATAACCGAACATAATATATTCAATGTCATATATTTAGTATTTTATAGTTATATTGTGTTTAGAAAAGTGTGAAGAATTGTGACTTATCCTAGGGATGACTCGTGGCTCTATGTAAAAGAACTTGATTCATAATCAATGGATTTCAAGTTCAATTCCAACCCTCATCCCATATATATGTCGGTTAAATGATTAAAAAATGACATTTAAAAAAAATAAATTTTAGGTATTATAGATAAAAACTATCTCAATAATACATTAATAAAACTGTAATTTTTATTCTTTCTTATTTATCTTATATAATAATTGATATCATTTACCTGGACGACAACACCATTTTCAAGCGTAAGCTGGGAATCAACCTGGCTTATCTTGGCATGGCAGTCGCGAAAATTCAGCTGTTGAATTTTCTGGTGTATCTGCTTCTGCCCAATCGCCGGGGTGCACTCCCGATTGGAATCCAATCCCCCGTGCACGAAGGAAGAATGCTGATTGTAAAATCTGAAATTTATAATAATTGTTGTATTTGTGGCATTCCTTTAATAAACTTTGACTTGGTTATGTGATAAGAAATCTATAGTGCAGATAAAAAGACATAATTTAGATAACTCAAGTACCTGTGAAGGTGAGCCGGTGCTTGATTCAGCAACGTATAATATTGTCGGACGAACTCCCGACCGACGCTCTGTGGCGAAGGAGATGCCTCCATGACCATTTTTTTATTTTGTATCTTCTAGAGTAGTATTTTGCTGGAAACAGCAAACTAAACGTTTCGACTGTAAAATCTTAAAATTATTAAGGCAGATATCTGAAACCAAAAAGAAAAAATATGTCAATATGTATATGTCAGATATGATATAGGAGATTAAAAAAATTATTACTAATATTAAATTAATTTTTATTAATCAAAATATAATTATTATATTAAACCGAGTTAAGTTTCAAATAATAAGTGACATTTTTTTGAGAGACAGGATATGTTTAATAATTCCTTTTATTGAATTTATATTTTTATAAATTTAGAACAATTATTTATATATTTAGATTACATTCTGTTATTATTAACGGATTTCCAACACAACAAGCTCAAAGCTATATTAATAAATTGATAATTAAATCTGAAAATCGATTACACTTTTTTTTTTAAATTATTAAATACAAAGATCTTTGAGCAATGCTACTTATTATATTTCCTATTATATTTATTAATTATAATTTGCAAAATTGAATAAATCATAATATACTATCTAAGTAAAATCTCTGATGACACAACTGAAGCAAAATATAATTATTGATTATGTGCATCTTAATCTCAAGAAATAAAAAAATTCTCAAAATATTTTTAGCAACATTGTTGATACTAATATTAATAACGATAAGTATATATATATATATATATATATATATATATATATAGGTAATTAATAATATATAGGTAAAATAAAGTGTATATATATATATAAATATATATAGGTAATTTCACAAAAAATATAAAAATGAATATTATCAATATTCATTTGAAAGAAACCGCGTGATAATATGGAGTCATAGGCACTTTCAGAATATATTACAACAAAAAAGAAGAGTACGCATAATCCCGCGTCCTCCACACGCATTCATCCGCCCACGTGCAAACATTCTTTATATAAAAACTATTGATTCAATTAATATATAAATATTTTTTTCGCGCGGCTCAGTTGAGTTTATAATTTGTAATTATTTAAATATATATTTCATAACATTCTTCATGATATTCTTGATAAATTACTAGTTGATTTATTTTTAGGAGCTATGTACTACTGTGCCATAAATTGTCCTCGTGATGAAAAATACTACAGCGTTTCTCGAGCGGACGCCGTGCTACCTGAATTTCTTCAAAACACGAGGACGAAGCAGCACGCGGTCTTTTTTTTCCTCTCCCTCGCACATGGAAAAATCCACCAGGGAATACAGCCCTCGGGCACCTCGGTTGTCGCTGGCAACCGCGTCTCGGGACGGATTAAATCCGAGCTCAAAATTCGTCTACGTTCTTATTACGTAGCGCGCAAATAATCGGAGCGGTACGACATGCGGCGAACACAAAGGGACTGGCGACGCGCGTAGCTTGGCGGAGCGCATGGCAAAATTTTCGCGCATGCCACCATCTCTCTTCCTCTCCTCTCATCTTTTTCCCTCACCATTCCCCATTCTTCTTCTCCTCTCCTCTCCCCCTACCCGCGAGCTCTTTCTTTGTCCCTCTTCCTGTGCACCCGAGGCATCCCGACCGCGCTGGACTCGGTGTATCTCGTAAGCACGTGTTTCTCTCAAAACCCCGAACGAAAAATTCGTTCTCCACACTTTCGGACTTCCTCGCCTCACGAGACAGGACGAAACAAAAAAGGGGCGAAAATCGTGCGGGAGAGCATGCCGACGAGAGCGCGGATGCGACGGAGAGAGAGAGAGAGAGAGAGAGAGATAGATGGAGAGAGCGAGCGCGCGGTCGCGCCCGGTCGGTCGCGCAAGCATGGCGATGTTTCCCGATGCCTCGCACGGGAACACACCAACGCGGATAAGACGCGAAGCATCCGAGGGGAGGAGACGGACGAACGGACGAGCGAGCGAATGAACGGATAGGCGGGTGGATTGCGGGTGGAACAGCGAGGCCGGGCTCCTCGACATGTCTCAGCTCGGCGTGAACGGAGTCACGTCCATCGAGGCGCGATTCCACCGCAGAGACATGTTCTAGGTGTTCTAGCGTGTTCTCCTCGTGCTCGAGGGAAGCGACGTGCGAACGATCGTCCCGACGAACGGATGGATAATGCCGAACGCGGGTAACGGGGATTACAACTCAATGGCAACAAACAGAGCGTGGGGGGGTTCCTACCTGATTCAGGCGTTCTCGCGCGGGGAACCTCGGCGCAACCGGCGGCGGCGGCGGCAGCGGCGGCGGCGGCGGCGGTGGCGGTGGCGGCGGCTGCTTATCGCGCGGGAAGCCGACGATGGCGCAAATGATTTGCGAGGATCGGCGATCGCCTCGTGCGACCGAGTAAACGCCGCAGACACCGGGTCCGCAGTGGATGATATCAATTATAAAAACAGTTCACGGTATGTACGTCGGTAACGCGGCTTACTTGTGTTGTGTGGTGGTATCGACGGCACTGTGTCAGCAAATGCGCGCAGAGCAGAACAGAACAGCACTGGAGAGGAACTGGCGACACACGGAGGCGTCGTTTGAATATAGACGAGCGTATTATAGTTCAAAGGTACGGGAAGCCCTCGAGCGCCAGTGGCGAACGTAGGAAGCGCGAATCGTCGATGCCGATTGGTCCGAGTTGATGTATCACGCGGTAGGATCTTTCTGCGCACGCGCCATCCTCTTTACCTGCGATCGACCACGTGATTATCTTGCGGACTCACGATGAGAACGTGGCTTTTTGCTCACGAAGTGCGATCTTTTTTCCTTTAACCCGTATCACAGACTGTGGATTAGGATTGGAAAGTAGATTGGAATTTAGCCAATCGGAAGAAAGAAAATCAATCTCGAATTTAAGCTAGCGGCACACGATGCTTTTTTCTTGCTGGTTTGCTAGCTGGATTCGCATGTTTGCTGAACTCTTGTCTTTGATTCGTATATTTTTTTAGATCTAAAAGTATGTCGCTGGCTTTAGTGATTTTGTTCGGAAAACAAAAATTCTATCAATTGATCATGAAATGTCACAAAGCATTTTCAACATCAATGGAATATATTTAACTATTACAGACTGAAAGCAAATAGTGTATTTGATTTGCTGATTCCGAATCGAGTTGATTATGAGGAAATAAGAGATAGAGGAAAAGCAATAAAAAAAGAAAGATATAGGAAAAGCAAATAAAAAGAGATAGAACTGAATCGAGTTGAGTCAAGTCAGCAAATCGAAAACGCTAAATGCCGTCGATTTCGATTTCTAGCAACGTAAACATAATAAAGATTGAGAAATTTTTCAATCAATTGAAAAAAACGAGTTGATTTAATATCTAACTTTAGTATTAGTGTATACCTTATTGGCTGTTTTTATTTTCCTCTAATTAAACTTTCTAATTAAAATTAAAAAGCAAATTAGAAATAAAAAGTAAATTAAATCAGGATTAAAATTAATCTATATTGATAGAAATAAACGTTAAATAAGGAAACGAGCGGAAGTGAGACAGAAAATTTGTTTGCGTCGCTCATAATTTCTACTATTTTTTGCACTTAAGAGTCGGCAGGAGTGACGAGCTAACTCCGACTTGATCTAAAATGATTATCTATTCGTTATTTACAGTGCAAATATGTATCTGTACTCAATTATATTTTCTTATAGAAGTCTTATAGAAATGATGTTTCGTCATGAAACTTTGCTAAGATAATTTCTTTTACAATTACGAAGGTATCTACAGAGCCAATTTTGCAATTTAGCTCTTAAATAATTAAAATAAATATAATTATCTATTCCTTATTTACAGTGCAGATATATATTTGAGTACACCCATATATCATCTCGTAGAAACAATATTCTGCCATGAGCCTTTTTCTACGTATTTTTTATAAAATTATAACTCTTGCTACAGAGTTTTGCAATTTGGTTCTTGAAAAAAATTTACAATAGATAAAAATATTTGCATCTTATTGTCCTATAGTGCAAATCTATTTACGCATAAAATGAATTATTTATTTTCACACATTTTCTTACAAAAATCGCTCTGTAGCTTTCGTCAGGCAAATATTCTGATTATAAATATCATAATTATATAGCTATTCTCGCAGTATTTTGGCCGTAATATAGGGAAAAGGAATTCATCTCCGATAAAGATCTCCATAATCTCTCCTTAAAGCAAGATGGATACATAAGCGGGAGTTGGAGAAAGTGTAAGAAAATGAGAAACGCGAGTGCAGGAAGTGTAAGAGCAACGCAACAAATCCGCGTAGAAGGGAATTCAGCGAGCATAATTAACCCCACGTCTGCTAGGAGCGCTGACGAGCACACGTTTTCTGCGTCCTCGATCGCGAGTTTTCCCCGTGTGTGTATGTGTGTGTGTGTCGCTTCCTCCCGCACTCCCCTCCTCCCCCAGCCCGCGCCCGTTTACGTCGCGTGAAGTTGCCTCGGGGACGAGCCAGCGAGAGCGCGCGGCGTGTTGCTTGGGGGTCGATCCGTCGATACGGGACGCTGGTTCGGGATGATCATGTAGTTTGGTGTCGAGTCGGCCAGACGCTTCCGTGGCTCTCTTAGCGTGGGAATCGGTCCGCTTTAGCCAATGTTATAACAAACGAGGCCGTTCGCGCGTTCCATGACTTCCCCACTCGATCACACGTGAGTAAAACGCACTTGACCCCGCTTCTGTCTCACGACGCTTTACGTGACGCGGGCGACCGACCGACCGAGTGTCCCGAGCGGGACTCGCGGATTAAATCCTCAGTGAACGTACGCGAGGAGTCAGACGGCGGGACAGACTTCGTGCGGAGACGCCCGCGGAGATTCCCCCGTCGACATGAATGGTACGATACGTAGAACGTGATAAAACGTGGTTTTAGGTTAACAGAAGATGACAGTATTAGAAACAGAGGAAGACGCAGATAAACGCTCGGTTCCTCCTAGAAAGAAGTTCTGCCTGTCCCTGTCGGGTCGTGGACGTGCAATTCCCATCGTCGTCCCACAGCCCCCTCCTACATCTACAAGAGGGGGCCTTTTGGATAGACCAGATTTCACACTTGGTATGTGTGTTCTTTTTAATTTTTTTATAATATGTCTGTTGGCAGTGAGACAGCAGTGATTTCTTTGATTATATTGATGATTCTGTTTGTAAAGGTACAAGCAAAATGTTGAATGGTTATCGAAATCAGCTGAGCAATCACCAGGATGGAAGTTACGACATGCCTAGTGGCAGTACGGAAGGATTGAAGATAGCTACCTTATGCAATTTAGGAAATACCTGCTTCCTCAATAGTGTATTATATACTTTAAGATTTGCGCCTTCTTTTCTGCATAATTTACATCATTTAGCTACTGATTTGTCTAATTTAAATGACAAGCAACTTCAAACAAAAGTAAGTACCAGATAGATTAATTTATTTGAAAAGGAAAGTTTTATATATATATATATATATATATATATATGCATGTGGTATAAACATGTTTAAATTTTAAATTCTATTGAGAATTTTTCTTGTAGGCCAAATCTTCCTCGTTAGGTAGAACCGGTGTATCGCTAACATCAAGCAATAGTCGTAGTTGGAGCAGTAAGGATCTATTGGCACTAGCTGGATCAACAGCAGAAGCTAATAAACCACGTATTCAAATAGCCACTGAGAGATTACATGAGCTCTTCATGGCATTGCGAGCATCAGAGATGAGGGAAAACAGTGAACCATACCAACCAGATGCCTTTTTACAAGCTCTTAGGTAAGTATGCTGTTATCATGTATATGTGTTTTGTGTTTACATTGTTTTTATATTGATTGTCATAGAGAAGTAAATCCGATATTTGAGGGAAATCAGCAGCAGGATGCTCACGAGCTTTTGGTCTGCTTGCTTGACAACATTAGGGAGACTTTCCAACTCTTGGTCAGACATAGAGAAAGCCAATTTGGCCAAAGCAATGGTGGTTTTCCTGAATTTATTGCAAACCACTCGACAACAGAGACACAGTCAGAGAGCAGTAGCTCTGGAAAAAGGAGCATTCGTAAATCTAGGAAGAAAAAGAAGATCACAAGCAGGGGAAATTCGGTATCTCTCGCGCAGCCGAATGCGAATGGCGTTGCGGGGTCTGCAAGATTATACGAGAATGGTCACGCGGAATTCGCCGAGAGTAACGGTGAGATAGGTACACGCAAGCCAGAAAGTAAGAAATGTTTTATTTCTGAGGACTTTGAGGGAGTCAGTTTATTGCGTACAACGTGTCTCGAGTGTGAACACGTAACCGAACGAAAGGAGACGTTCTGCGACATATGTGTACCCATTGACATTGATCGTTCGAACGAGAAAGGTACGTGTTTAATTGATTTATTCATATGGAATAAAAGAGATACGTTATTCTTAGATTATTTAAGCTGTTCAGACTTTCTTTAATAGCTTATAGATATTTTATATTATTGTAATTAATCGGATTTTTTTAATTCTAAAATCTTTCTTCAGATGATAATGAATTGGACAGCAGTGAGGTATACAAGCGCGCTGTAGTAACTAGTGAATTGCTTTGGGGTAGGGATAAGTACTGGTGTGCACGGTGCCTACGGTATAATGAGGCTCGCAGAGCCGTTTGTTTTCCCTCTTTACCTAGACTTCTTATCTTGCAGTTGAAGAGATTTTCTACTGCCGCTGGGTAAGTCTTATATCTTTCAACATATTTAGAAGCAACAGGTTAAATACATAATTTATATCAGGAATATGTACTTCTCAAAGTTAGCAAAAGATATCACGACACATTTGCATAATTTAAAAATCTATTGCAGCTATATAAAAGTAATAATTATATTAAAAGTATAAATATTATAGTAACATTAATTTATGGAATTATTCTTTTTTAAGGACTTATTGTATTTTTTAATTTTACTTCTTTTGTTTTTGATGAACAACTTTTCCCCATCAAATTTATGTTTTCAGTTCAATGGAAAAAATCAATAATCACATGCCAACACCATTTACCTTGCAATGCTTCTGCGAGGAATGTAGTAATGATGAAACTCATGGGATGACAGCTGATGGTAATACAGAAACGCGACACGTGTACAAATTATATTCGGTCATAATGCATCAAGGTGCGACAATGACTGCAGGGCATTACGTCGCTTATACTCGTTTACCAGACGAGCCTGCGTATGCGGAGTATTCTCAATGCGATCGCGATAATAAACGGCAAAATCCGAGCCAGACTAGTGCCGCGAGCGCAAACTCTTCATCGTCGTCCTCTTCTTCTTCCGATAAACCATCGGGCATACTCAAGTATTTTAGAAGTAGCAAACCCAACGCGAGCGAGAATAAGGAGCAATTAGTGAATAGAGTCGGTTGTCGTAGCATGGACTGTTGCGGCATCAGGCGCAACAAACAGGGCGTCACCTGGTTGGAGTGCGACGACGAAGCGGTTCATGTGATCCCACTACGAGAACTTGAAGACAAACTGGCACCCAACGCGCGGAACTCAGCTACTCCCTATCTTCTGTTTTACGTGAGGTCGACGATGTAAGTCGCCGTTCTTCGTCTTCTCGTCAGAAGTATAATATCAAAATCGTCTCCGTTTGAAATTCCAAGGGATACTCCCCGATTGACTCCAACAAACTTCGATTCGTCAATTATAAGGCCTGTCCTTTATTACTGCACTGAACTGTATTAAAATCACAATATAACTAGTAGTGGCATTTTGTGAAAGAATACATGCCGCCGCAAATTCAGTCGCACAAGCAATATTATTGTTCGCTAATAAAATTTAGTTTTAATATTTTATATAACAAGATTTTTTACTTATTATTGATTAATTAGATTTTATCTTAAACAAATTTACATTTTTGAATAATTTTCTATTTTTACATCATTTTTAATATTGTTATTATCGTTATGAATATCTCTTATATTACGAATATTATTTAATTGATTTTCTTCTTAAGGACTGACCTATCATTCGATATTGTAACCGCAGAATGATATATTTATTATACGCGTTTAATAAATTGGTTACTATTAGAATTATATGAGATTTGTTTTTATTATTATTTTTATATTATGTTTTTATATTATATTCATTGAAAGTGGCTTAAGAATGATCCCAAACATTGGAACATCTTTTTATTATATAATGTATCATAATTATTTGTACATAAGACAAAATTAATAACTGACATACGCAAGATTACGCAAGAATACTAGCGGAGTTGACCCTTATTTGTTGACTTTTATTTTGACAATAAAATTTAGTTCGACAAAAACGTATATATTGTATACAGAATTTTATAAATATTTTAAAGAATGAATAGAAAATATAAAATTATCTTGTTTGCAGTATATAACAATATAATAATACGAGTAAAAATTCGTAAAAGTAAAAATAAAAAGTAACATTGTTTATGGTAGGATATTATTATTTCTCCGTATAATATTGAATTAAAAGGATATATCTAGGAATAATTTGCAGAAATGAAAAATATTGATATAGAGTGCCACTATTAGTTATAACGTGATAATATTTTCTTTCTCACTTTTGCCAAACTTTAGATATATATCCATTTCATTTTAAGTACCAGTGTTCAGCTATAAAGTATAGACCTGCAATACATATAATTAGTACGGATTGAACAATTAACTGTCTAACTGTGGTCAAGTGACGGGATACTCCCATTTCAAGCGAGACAGCGAGCACACAATGACAAAAATGGGCCTTGTTCTTCTCATGTTGCCCTCTTCCTCTCCTTCCTTCCCTCTCTTCACTCAAAAATCCAAATGATCGTGCTGTGATGTATCGCACATTCCACACTACCCGAGTTCTTCTTCCTGTATACGTACTGCATCGAGTTTTAGAGACGCGAGCGTGTACTATTTTCGTAGAAAATAAAACTGTCTATCGCCAATCATGTTATATACGTTAGATTCCCGGCGATCGGACGGTATACGACCTCGAGAGTCGACCTCTGTATATGTAACGAAATACCGTCGACCTCGATGTAACGAATCATGAAACGAGCGTCACGATTAGACACGACCTAGCCTTAGTTGAGACGTGGAACGTTTTATTATTGAGTTATCTGTAAAATAATAAAAATTATGTATTCTTGACACATACCTGTCTATCATACGTGCGCCCGTGCCACATCGCGAGATAGAGGCACTTAACCCGATCCCCAGGAAGTCTACCTGCGACTTTATATCGATGGACGTCACTGCGACGTGGCTTGAATATTTTAGAACGTCGTTTAATACAAACGTTTCCATCGTTTTCACGATACCTTCATGATATTAATCGATCTCGTGCTGAAAAGCGGTACGATTAAATTTAACTAGCTATTAGATAAAAATCCCTCGCGTGGCATTTAGAGTTAATCTCTAATTACAATGTAACTTATAACGGAGCGGTCCGTCGACGATGCGATGCAATGGAAAGAAATTCTTTCCGTCGTCGTAGTCGCCCGCGAACTTCCGTTAATTTTCTGTTCTGTCTTTCGCTAACGTTCCAGGCAGGTGAATTCGGCGGAATTTGTCCACGCTGAATATGCGCACACCGCCGCTTTCAAATCGTCGCGTACACACGTTGAAATATTTGTATAGTGTCAGCTCAATCATACGTGGCTACATCCATATATCGATTATTTCTATAGGGGGTCAGTAGTGGAGTAACGTTCCACCTGTCAGTCGGATACATAGTAGTTCCTACTACTTCCAGACCGTGATACATTCAGTAGTTCGTATCTCTTAGGTAGAGCACGTTCCTACACGGCTATGCTCTCGTCGACATTCTTCGAATAAGACAGAAGGTAAGTGAATAAAACAGTAGAATAATATGTAAGCGGTCTTATATTTGAATACTCGACGAGAGAAAAAACGTGTAAAGCGAACGAGAAGTTAATTTGTCAATCAAAACTTTTGATCCTGATGTAACAATGTTTGTTGATTGATTCGGAAAGAATCAGCCATTTTTTTTTTATTGATGGATAGTTCTTTTTCTTATTT